ACTTTCCCCACGGCCGCCGCCGCCGCACGCCTCGGTAATTCCTTCATCCCCTCACACGCCACAGATCCTGCTTCGTTATTACCGTGTACTCTGTCATCACCACCACCTGGTTTCACAGCATTGTCATTCTCGCCAGGAAACACTGGGCCAGTGGAGCTACTAGCACCCTGCTCCGGCGAATAATTAAATTTAGATAAATTAAATTTTCTTCTTAAAACAGAACAAACCTCAAAGTTAATCTTTGACTAGTGAAATTACAAAACTCATTTTAATACATTTCAAATTTTAGTCCTTTATATTAATTTTTCTCTTCAATCTGGCAATCTTATATATAGTATAAGATATAACTAACAAAAAATATTATATACTCCCATTTAAAATAAGATTCTACTATAGAAAGGGTTCTCTTCGCATGATATGTGATAGAAAATATATAGAAAAATAAAAATATAATGAAATTATAAAATATAGTAAGCTTCTATTATAATTATAATTTTAAATTTTAAATTTTAAATAGAATTAATATATTAATAAAATTTATATATAATTAATAAGTAATATATTAATATTACAATTTATTACAATTTATATATTTATTTATTTGTATATTTATTTATTTATTTATTTTTGTGTTTGTGCCGCCGAAATCAAGTGATTATCATTATAATAATAATAAATATTCCATTTGAAATTAAATAAAAAAATGAAATTTATAAATTCATTAAAAGGCTATAAAAATTTATACTACTATATACATAGTATACTACATACATACTGATACACTAACATACAGACTGATATTTATTTATTTAGTATTTAGTTTTTAATTTAATACTATAATATAATTTTTTATTAGTATTAGAATTTTTTATTATTTATAAGTCATTCTTTTTAATTAAAATTTAATTAAATTTAAATTAAAAAGTAACTATTAATTTGAAATTCAAATTAATAAATACTAAGATTAATATAGTAATTAATATAGTGAAATTAAAATAATAATATATAATTAAACTTTAAATTATTAAAATAGAAATTATTATTATTATATAGAATATATAGAATTCTATAGAATAATATTAATATGGAGACAAGATAGAAATATGAAATTCGTAACTAACAGAATTACCTAGATAAAAGAATCTAGTTAAAAACGTGATTATTCAAAAATTGAACACATATTCATGCCTTATTTTTAACTCAAAAAAGGATAAATTAGACTCTTTAAGACCAAGACAAACTTCAAAGTTAATCTTTTACCAATAAAGTTAGTAACTCATTTTAATACATTTTAAATTTTAGTCTTTTATGTTTCTCTCTCCAATATGGTAATGTTATATATAAGAAACAAATAACCAAATTATGTATAAATATCTAAAAAAAAATATTTGAATAAGATTAACATCTCATGTAGTAATTGACTCATACTACTTTCATCACAATATTTTTTCAAAAAATTATTTCTATTTTAACTCAAAATATAGAATTAATTCCATTTTTATATGATTACATTGAATAGTTTAGAACAAAATCACATAGTATTAATTGTAGAGTAGTTTGGTAGTATAAACGCTTCCCTTAACTAGGAGTTCGTAAGTTTAGTATCGTTTATAACTTCTTCTTGTTAGGGTCTACCCATTCAATAAAGAAAAATAAAGTCGCGTCTCGTAAGGGACAAATAAATTTTAAAAAATAAAGATATGAGAATATTAGTAAAAATATGGAAGAACTTGGCACTGATACCATCTTAAAATTTGAAAGATTGAAAGTTGAGGAAAATAAATTATCCGCTTAACTAGGAGGTTGTGAGCTCAATATCATTTATAACTTTCTCTTGTTATTATCTACCACTTCAATAAAGAAAAATAAAGTCGTGTCTCAATGGATAAATAAATTTAAAAAAATAAAAACATGAGAATATTTATAAAAGTATGGAAGAATTTAGCTTTGATACCATGTTAGAATTTAAAGGATTGAAAACTAAGAACATCATAATATTAGTATAATCATCAAATAAGAAGAGCACAAATAAGCCTTTATATTGACTTCGTCCTTGATATTTGGTATGTATGAATTCTTTTTGTTGAATTTGTCCTAATAAATTCATTTCTTCTGATCCTTCATGTTCAAAGAACTATCTATTCATCATTTTTTTTAAAAAGAACATTCTCTTTATCACTTAATGTGGCTTCTTTTTCTATTTTTTTCTTCCGTGTGTTATTGTCTCTGTTCTCTAATTTCCCCTTATTAGTATCTACCACTTCAATAAAGAAAAATAAAGTCACGTTTCAATGGATAAACAAATTTAAAAAAATATTAGTAAATATATGGAAGAACTTGGCTCTGATACCATATTAGAATTTGAAGGATTGAAAATTGAGGGGGAAAAAAAAGAACCTCATAATATTAGTAATCCTCAAATTAAATAAGAAGAGCAAAAAAGCCTTTATGTTGACTTCGCCCTTGATATTTCGTATATATGATATTTTTTGGTTGAATTTGTCCTAATAAATTCATTTTTTTCCAATCCTTCATGTTTAAAGAACTATCTATTCATCATGTTTTTTTTTTCCAAAAAAAAAGAACATTCTTTATCACTTAATGTGGCTTCAGTTTCTATTCACTTCCTCTCTGTGTTTTTGTCTCTAATGTCAGGCTTTAGTGATTTTGTGTAATTAATGTTTGACAATGCCTTATTTCTATTCAGGTTTGATTTTGCTTGATTTCATTCACATTCTTTAAAAGTTATCGATTCTCGTAGTGAGTTCTTGTTGTCCCTTTAACCTTTTTCTTTTTTTTCTATTGATTTCAGCCTAATATTAACTTTGTTTCTTTATATATATATATATATATATATGGATTCTTCTTGTTGGATTCATCCAAATAACTTTATATCTTCCCATTCTTCGTTCCTATTGTTCAAAAAACTTGTTGTTCATTGCGTGTCAAAAATGTTTCTATCTATCATTTTTTAACATGGCTTCTTTCTACTCATTTTGTCTTTTTTTTTTTTGTCTCTAATGTTAGGTTTTAGTGTATATTTTTTCATCAAATGGGTTTTAGTGCTTTTGTGTAGATAACTTTGTGTTAGCGTCTTAAAAAAAAAAAACAGTTTTAGCTTCCAAATCATGGTTTCGGGATCCCATCATCCCACACATGATTTTTTTTGGCAAAATCTCAATTTTTCACTGAAAACCATGATTTTTGAAAAATAAAATTTTTATGCTTTTGACATGTTGAACCATGATTTTCGATTAAAAAAATATTTAAAATAAAATTATTTATTTTGTAAAAATATATTTAATATTATATTTTATATATATGCACAGACATATTAATTATTAATTAATTATATAAATAATAAGTTGGTCTTACATATATTTATTTATTTATTTTTAAATATTGCGGCACTTAATATTTAAAATCTTTGTGATAGATTATATTTTTCTAAAAATATATTTAAACCTATAATTTATAAATAAACACACATATTAATTATTAATTAGTTATATTTTTATATATTATTTAATATGTTAGTAAAAATATATTATTTACTAATTTATTATTTTAAATAAAAATATAAATTAAAATTTGTCTTTTATGTAATCACATTAATTTTTGTAAAAAAGTGATTCTAATACTTAACATCTAAATATTCTCATTTTATCAAAGTCAATTTTTTCACAAAATTTATTGTTTTAAAATTTATTCCCGAAATAATTTTTTATCACTTTTCTTCAAAAGTTATGCTCTAAAAACTAGCGCTTAATATGGTTTCCTTTCTATTCATATTTGATTTGATTTTGCTTAAACTATTTAATTTTTTCCCCAAAAAACAAAGGCTCTTTATTGTTATTTTGTTCTTTAATTTTTAATTTCTTGACAATTTTCTGGATTTCCAAAAATTAAATACTTGATGAAGCAGTTGGGTTTAATTGTGTTTTATCCCCTGCATGGTTTATTTAATCACATGTTTGAATGCGTATTTATTTTTATGCGCTGACTTCATTGTTTAAATTCTGAAAAATTAATTTTGGGTATTTTAACATACTGAAAATTTTTTCAATATTTGTTCTGTACATTATTTAATTGTCTAAATATTTGAAAAAAAAAATCAGTTTTAGGCAATTATACAATCATTTGAATTTTGCATTATTGTGTTTGAGTTATAATATGAAATTAACTTAAAACAATCTTTGGGTGCTTATAGTGGGAGAATTTAATTTGATCATTTAATCACGATTTTATTAAATTAATTAATTAATTAAAGTCTCATAAAAGTTTGTGCATATTTAGAATTTAAACTCATATGATTGGTATTCAATAGTATTATTTATAGGCTTCAAACCCAAACCTCAAGGTTGTGGTCACAAAAGCTATATAATAGTATAATAATTTTCTAATTTTTTTAAAAATCAAGACAGCGTCATGATGTGCATAAAATAATTAATCCATTTATTCTCAATCATGTGTTTTATCCAGGGTCAATCAATCAAATTATGTTGCATTTAATCTATTATAAAACATCTTATTTTGATATTACCACATATATTATGGAATAAATTCCCTTTGTAAAATAAAAGATAACATACATAAGCAACCAACTATATATCCACCGCCGTTTGACATTAGTCTATGTGCCAAAAAACTTGATACCTGTAGGCTCCGACAGATAAATAAAAATTTAGTAATTTGCTCTCACTTTAATTATATAAAGAAAAAAAATTCTTAAACTTAATTAATTACCTACTATTAAAATAATATGCAACGAACAATGGGGTTAGATCGAGCCAAAAAAAAAAAAGCTCAATATTCTTTAAATACGATATTTAACCCAATCTGACATGGCTTCTATTTGTTGCCAACTGGCTCAATAGAACATTTAGGCTCTCTTTCTTACTCGATCCTTGGGTTCCATTAGTATTTGACTGCAATGAAGGTTCCGGCGAGCGGTGCTGCTTCTGTCCAGCCAGCACTTGCGCCGGCTCCGGTAACGGTTCCTATCCTATGAGGTGTGGAAAATTGACCTTGGCTTTTCTGCCCCACATCTTGAAAGCAGCTCTATCATAAGCCAGAGCCGCATCCTCTTTCTTCTTATAAGTTCCCAACCATGTCCTCGCACCGTTTCTCTTTGGGTTCCGGATCTCAGCCGCAAACTTCCCCCAAGGCCGCCACCTCACGCCTCGGTAATTCCTCCGTCTTGGCGGCACGTTCCCCTCACGCGCAACAGATCCTGCGTCGTTATTACCATTTACTCTGTCATCACCGCCACCTGGTTTCACAGCGTTGTCATCCTCGCCGGGAAACACTGCACCAGTGGAGCTGATAACACCCTGCTCCGGCAAAGCCATGTCACGGTCAAGATTCAATGTAGTGTCATTGCCGGTGAAGAAGCCATTCGTGAGAACTTGTTGAACTGATTGAAAAGTAGAATGATTAGGGATCATTTGGGGGAGCTGAGTCTGGTGATAGTGTGGAAGCACAGGATCTGTGAAAAACATGGCTTGTGTGCGCGCGCGCGCGCGCATTTATGTTTGTATGTGTGTGGATATATATATGCATATATATAATGACTTTTGTTTAAAGTGATGATATTATTTAATTGTTGTGTTTGTTGTTTCCATGAAACTTCATTTGTTAATTTGGAGTTGTAGTCGTCGCGTGTGATTGGCTAATTCAAACAAATATTATTTATTTCTGAGTATAAAAGGTGTTAGAGTTATAGATATTGAGTTAATGTATTAATATGGTAGTCTGCTGTTGGGCCAGCGTAGGGCCTAGAGCCCAAACAGTCTTCTTGTTGTTGAGTTATGGACTGTTGTCCATTTGTGGGGCTGGATTTTGAATCCTTGTGCTCTTCTTGTGAATGACTCAGGTTAGCAGCTTGTGCCTTTCTGCCTTTGAAGGTAGAGGGAAACCCAACAAGCTCATAACAGTGATCACGAGTGTGCCCCCGTCTATGGCAATGAGTACATACTTCTTGAGGGCGACCTCTGCCTCTGCCCCTACCAGAACGACCACCTCTAATGGTGGCTGCAGCAGTGTCAAATGGATTTGCAGGAATCTGTGAACAGATCATACGTTGCTCCTCATCTTGACATATCATTGAATAAGCTTGAGACACAGTAGGGAGTGGTGTCATGAGGAGTATCTGTGATCTTGCTTGGTGAAAGGTGTCGTTAAGTCCCATAAGGAACTGAAATAGGCGTTGTTGCTGGACAACTTTATTATACTCTTGGGCAGTGGAACACTTGCATGTGGGGAGAGGAACCAACACTGAAAGTTCATCCCATAGCTCCTTCAGTTTTGTGAAATAGCTTGCCACTGTGAGTGTGCCTTGAGTGAGTGATGAAATTGCTTTGTACATAGAAAATATTTTTGTACCATCTGTCTTAAGAAAACGTTCTTGAAGATCAAGCCAAACGAGGTGTGCACTGTCAGAAAACACCAAACCACTAGCTATATCCTTTTCTACAGAATTGATGATCCAGGACAACACGACCGCATTACAACGATCCCATTGGTGGGAAAATTCTGAGGCTTTCTCACGACAATAAGTACCATCAATAAATCCCAACTTATTTTTACCACGGAGAGCCAAACACATCGCACGGCTCCATATTACATAATTTCCAGAACCTGTCAAAACTTGCGGGACCAACGTAACTGCCTGGGTGTCTAAAGGGTGCAAGTAAAGGGGATGGTTGGAATCAATTGGTGTTGCCATTGGTAGAATTCTTTTAGAGGTGAAGTGAAAGATCGCAGCGGAAGATGAGCAAGAAGTGACAGGTTGAAAGAAAGAAGAAAAACCAGTGAAATTGCAACAAATAAATGAAACCAAACCACAAACAAATACCGATCTGGACAGCACCAAAAAAAAAAATCGGTGGAACTTGCTTGACAGCACAAGCCACAGAGCAGACTGAACCACTGATGTGCAGGAAAAAAAAAAGGCCAGGAAGGAAAATCAACGTTTATTTTCACCGCCTGTTGAGAATCTTGAATTGAAGCTCGTCCAAGATTCGTTCTATTCCACAGTTTTTGACAGAAAGAAAAAAAATGGAGATTTGAGAGACGAAATTTCTGGATCAAGGTGTCAGCTCGTTGATTTTTGGGAAAGATGTGGGACACATTTCAGATCTCTTGAATCAATCTTCTTGGATCTGATCGAATGCAATGACGTCGTTGCATTTGGGACTGAATCTGAATGGTGCGTGTGGGACTGGAGGCTTCACAATGGTGAGAAATTCTGGACCGCCTCAACACTGCACTACCAAGGGTCTTGGGCTGTAGGGAATAACCAGCTCTGGTACCATGTAAACAGGGCGAACTAGCCCAAGAAATACTGGAGAAAACCTCTACACTTTATTGATAACTAGGAGAAATATATATACACACGGTACACTGCTTTGTCCAACAACAAGAAGACTGTTTGGGCTCTAGGCCCTATGGTATCACTGATACAGCTTTCATGACTCAAGTAAAAGCCAAATGTAAGTATCCTCTCCATGAATACATTTCCTATGCTCATATATCTCCATCTCACAAACATTACTTGTTTTCTACTGATCAAATTTCTGAGCCATGTAGCTTCCATGAAGCTGCCAAGGACACAAATTGGTTGGATGCTATGAAGCAAGAGATGGATGCCTTAGAACTCAATCAAACTTGGAAGATAGTGGACCTTCCTAAAGGTAAGAAACCCATTGGATGCAAGTGGGTCTTCAAAGTCAAGTATGGCCCCACTGGTAAGGTTGAGAGGTATAAGGCTAGGCTAGTTGCTAAAGGCTATAGCCAGCAAGAGGGTGTTGATTATTTTGAGACATTTTCCCCAGTTATTAAGATGGTTACAATTCGTTCTGTTCTTTCCCTTGCTGTCATGCAATGTTGGCATCTATATCATATGGATGTCAACAATGCATTCCTTCATGGAGACTTGCATGAGGACGTTTATATGCAAATTCCACAGGGATTTGATCAGTTTGGGGGGAACAAAGTATGCAAATTGCTCAAATCCCTCTATGGCCTCAAGCAAGCCTCTAGGCAATGGAATGCCAAACTCACTGAAACTCTTGTACAAGGGGGGTTTAGACAAAGCAAATATGACTACTCTTTATTTGTTAAAAAAGATAAAGGGGAAATTACTGTTATTTTAGCTTATGTTGATGATCTTGTGATTGCTGGAAATAGTCTTGACAGAATTAATGAAACCAAACTACATTTGCACAAAAAATTCAAAATTAAAGACTTAGGACAACTCAAATACTTCCTTGGTTTAGAACTAGCAAGGTCTGCAAAGGGTATTGTTCTCAGTCAAAGAAAGTATACTTTGGATCTCATTTCTGATACAGGTTTGAGTGGTTCCAAACCACTAACAATTCCTATGGAAAGAAGTACCAGATTGAGTTCAGCAGGCACTAATCCAGCCATTAAGAAAAGGACAAGACAGAAACAGAAAAATAACAAGGAAAATGATCCCATCTTACAGGATCCTTCATCCTATCGGCGATTAATAGGTAGGTTGTCTTATCTTACTGTTACAAGACCTGATATTTGTTTTGTTGTGCAGACTTTGAGCCAGTTCATGAGCAATCCAAGAAAATCACACATGGGGGCTGCTGTACGTGTAGTGAGATATTTGAAAAACAGTCCAGGATTGGGGATATTGCTGGCTGCAACCTCCAGAAGAGATCTGAAGTGTTATGTGGATTTTGACTGGGCCACATGTCATGATACAAGGAGATCAGTAACAGGCTATGTCATCCAGTTTGGTGGGTCCCCCATATGCTGGAAGTCAAAGAAACAGCAAACTGTGTCAAGGTCTTCAGCAGAAGCAGAGTATCGAGCTATGGGTACAGCTGTTTCAGAAATAACTTGGTTGACTCGGATGTTAGGAGATCTGGGAGTAAAAGGACTTGAGCCAGTTAAAGTACATTGTGACAACAAGGCTGCCATATACATTGCCACAAACCCGGTCTTCCATGAACGGACAAAGCACATCGAAATTGATTGTCACTTTGTCCGGGAGAAGCTACATCAAGGGCTTATCAACTTGGAGCATGTTAACTCTAAAGATCAGCTAGCTGATGTGCTCACTAAAGCACTTGGAACAGAAGATCATCGCAGGTTGATAGGCAAATTGGGTACCACCAATCTCTATGGTCCCCAACTTGAAGGGGGGTGTTAGAGTTATAGATATTGAGTTAATGTATTAATATGGTAGTCTGCTGTTGGGCCAGCGTAGGGCCTAGAGCCCAAACAGTCTTCTTGTTGTTGGACAAAGCAGTGTACCGTGTGTATATATATTTCTCCTAGTTATCAATAAAGTGTAGAAGTTTTCTCCAGTATTTCTTGGGCTAGTTCGCCCTGTTTACAAAAGGCTTAATTATGAGTATGCTATAAATGGCTTCTTTATGTGTATGATGTTAAATATATTAATAATTAAACTGCAGCGTTGCTGTGTAAGCAGTATGACAGAAGCAACACTAGCTAGTCAAAGTTTGAAAACCTCGTTAGATAAATTATTGATGTCTTGTTTTTTTAGGCAAAAAAAAGAAGAAGATAAATTAGACTTCGAGAACCGTACAAACCTCAAAGTTAACCTTTGAAAAATAAAATTAGTAACTCATTTTAATACACATCACAAATTTTAGTCTTTTATATTGCTCCCATCGATCTAGCAATGTTATATATATATATATATATATATATATATATATAAGCAACCAAACTATATAGACTAATAAATTACTTAAAAATAATAATTATGCAAAAAATTTATTTTATGTTCTAAAAATACCCTTATTTAGCTATTTATGAACTAATTGATCCATAAGACAAAGGATGCGACTTTTTGGAGAAGTCCAGAATGCATGCAGCTTACTGTTCGTTTAGGAGAGATTAGAAATAACTTTTTTATGGCCTATTTCTCTAAAGTTATTTTTTAATAATTGATATTTTTATTATTTTAAAAGATAGAACTAAAAGGTATGAACATTATTTTTATTTTAGCTTGAAATATATAATCACCAATTTTATGTCAGTTTGGATGCATCGGTGAATAAAACCGATATAGTAAGAAATATCTGAAAAGGAAAGAGAAAAGCTAAAGAGAACATTCAATAAAATTACTGAACAAAATCTTTCGATTAAAATTATATTATTACATTTGGTCGTTGATAGAGCCTCCTGTAGAATAAGGTTGTGTTGTTATTTGTTTGTTGCTTTACGTCGGTTTAAGAGTTTTGAATAAAGCAACGTGTCGACAATGTTCGGATTTGCATTGGATCCTCATCAGTTTTGATGAGCACTCAATACTCATTAGATCTGGATCTGGACAGTCCAGATTTAATTTTAATTTAATTTTAATTTTTTAAAATAATTATTTTAATGGGTATAGGATAAAAAATAAAGATAATCTTTTAACTATTATTCTTTAAAAATATAATTTTTTCTATTTTTAAATAATTATTTAAAAATATTAAATCTGGACGGCCCAGAT